GTTCTCTTCTGAACCCAGCTGGAATTTCTGAAAGCTCCCTGTTCATGTATTTCTGCAATAATTCTTTAAATTACCTTCAGCAAAATTTTACTTGCACGTGCTATTAATGATATTGTTCGATGATTTCTGCGCTCCATTGGAATACCTTTCTTTGGAATAGGCACAGATATAGATCTCTTCTAATCGGTAGACCAACGAACTGCCTTCCTAACTTCTTAACATGAAGTGAGTGCACACCTCCAGTGCAGCCTCAGTTTGTTGGAATATTTCAATTTGTATTCCACCGATTCTTGAAGCCAATTCACCGATGTTCAGTGCTGCTGGGACTTTTTCCTTCAATACCATATGTTGTTAGGTGCCATCGAGTCGGTACCAACTCATAGCGACCCTAAGCACAACAGAATGAAACTTCGCTGCCCGATCCTGGGCCAACCTCACAATTGTTGCCACGCTTGAGCCCATCAATGCTGACACTTTGCCAATCCATCTCACTGGAGTCTTCCTCTTTTTCTCTGACCCTCCACCTTACTAAACACGATATCCTTCTCTGGTCCCTCCTGGCAATATGTCTAAAGTATGAGAGACAAAGTGGCCATCCTGGCCTCCAAGGAGCACTCTGGCTGCAATTCTTCAAACACAGATCTGTTGGTTCTTTTGGCAGCCCATGGCATTTCAATATTCTCCTCTAACTCCATAACTTAAAAGCATCAATTCTTCTACAGTCTTCCTGATTCACTGTCCAGCTTTCACATGCATATGAGGTTACTGAAAATATCAAGGCTTGGGTCAAGCACACCTTAATCCTCAAGCTGACATCTTTGCTTTTCAACACTTTAACAGCAGTCGGACTGATTACTACAAGAACAAGCAACATGCTCGCCCAGGAGACATCAAGGCAAGTGGTCGGGTCCCCTCAGGGCAAACCCCCTTCCAAGACTAAGACTCAATTGGAATACACGAGAAGACTTGCGCTCTGACTAGTGACCATATTTGTCACCGATAAGGGAAAGTGAAGGAAAAACAGCAATGAAGCGGTAAGCTAAGCCCTACCACGTTCAATAGACTCCTGTGAACCTGGGTGGAGACCTGGGTTTGGCCAGCAGTGTGACAAGACCTGGGGACTCTTGGGCCCAGAGTCAGTGACATAGCCACAGAGGACAAGAGTGGAGAGTGAAGTGTCCAGCTGATATGAAGAGAGGGAATATGGCACAAGAACACTCACACTTTCAGATAATACCCACTTGACCTGGCTTCAATGGCTGGATGATCAGATGTCAACTAGAAGAAAAAGGAGGAAAAAAAAAAAAAAAAGAGTAATCTGGTACAAGTTGATGAACTTGACCTACATCTATTGACGTAATAGCTCAAAAGAGAGAACACATCTTTATAGTGAGGATCATTCCCCACCCCAATACACAGGGTAGACAGGGATGGGCAACTTGGTCACTGGCTACCCAAAATGGGGGGCTACAAAGGCAAGAAGTGACTGGCTTACAAGCTTTCAAGAGGGAGCCTAGCTCCAGAGGACACGGAAGAACGTAGCATCTCCACTGAGTAGTATCCAATCTGTCTAGGTGGGGCTGATGAAAGATGAGGATAGCACTCAAGTGGCACAATAGTGAATAATTGCTATCCGGATTGTGCGGGTTAGAAATATAAAGGTGGACGTTTTGTAGCAAAAGGAGGAGAATGGTTGATTTTGCAGTCCAGGAGCCAAGGTCCCTGGGATCATCAAGGGAGAAGGGCGGGAGTACAGGACCCTACCCAGAGAAGCAGTGATGCCTGAGATGGAGGCAGAGACGATGACGTAGAGAGAGATGGAGCAGCTGGGGGCTCTAGATCCAGAGAGGGAGAGGGGCTGTATGCTGACGACTGAGGGGCAGGCTTGTGGGGTCTACCCTTTGGTTGGTTGATGATACATGGAGGGGATTGCAACCATGGCTATGAAACGATATATGATAGGATGAATGTAAAACTAATGTTCTCCCATGTAAAACTATCACATAATTCACAATAAAACATTAAAAAAAAGTTTTGTGCAGATTTGTCTAATGCAATACGTTGTCTGATTTCTGGACTGCTGGTTCCACGAGTGTTGATAGTTGATCCAAGAAGAATGAAGTCCTTGACAACTTCAATCTTTTCTCCGTTGATAAGAATGTTGTTTATTGGTCCAGTGGTGAGGATTTTTGTTTTCTTGACATTGAGATGTAATCCATATCGAAGGCTGTGCTCTTTGATCTTCATCAGTAAGTATTTTAAGTCCTCTTCACTTTCAGCAAACAGGGTTATATCATCTGCATATCGCAGGTTGTTAATGAGTCTTCCTCCAATCCTGATGCCACGCTTTTCTTCATAGAACCCAGCTTCTCGTATTATTTGCTCAGCATACAGGTTGAATAAGTACGGTGAAAGAATACAACCCTGTCTCACACCTTTCCCAATTTTAAAACATTCAGTGTTCCCATGTTCTGTTCGAACAGCTGCTTCTTGGTCCCAGTACAGATTCCTCATGAGCACAATTAAGTGTTGCAGAATACTCATATTTCACAATGTTGTCTATAGCTTGTCATGACCCACCCATTATTCTGGTCTAATTTCCTCCAGTGCTCAGTGGGCCCTTTCAGTGTGGTTATTCCAAAAAATGCTGTTGTGAAATGTCAAGTTGGTTCCAAGAAGCCACTGGTGGATATGAACTGCCAACCTTACAGCTCACACTCTCCTTAGGCTTCTGTGCTTATCCAACACCACCACACAAATTCTGCTTCATTTCTCCCAAGATGGAAAATTCTTTTTCCTGTCTTCCCTTTCAACACTTTCTGACCCTTCATACTTTTCTCTTTTTGAATTGTATTGTTTTCCTGTCTCCAACATCCTTTCTAAAATGTTCACTTTTTAAATCTTGGGCAACTTGTGCTCTTTTTTCCCATTTGTTTCCTAAATTCAATCAGTGGTTTTCAGTTCTCCCTGATTTCGACTCTTTCTGTTGTTAAGATTTTAAATTTCTGACTCAAGGTGATTTTTCAGATTTCCCAAGACTTGGTCTTTGGGAGAGTGGCTCACTGGTGACGTGTATCACACTACTTAGGTCTTGACTTAACTCTTTTCCTCTACTTGTGAGGTCTTCTGGGACTTTTATTCAGTGTAGAATTTCACTGTAATTTTTGGTATTAATTTCCCCTCCTCCGCCATTCATTGTATTTTTAGTACTGGGGCATTTCACAAGACTCCTATTTTAATTCTGTCACTGTAGGGAGGTTCAGATTCCTTGGCAGATGGTTTTGCATATTTTGATGATGGGGCAGGAGGGAATACAGGTTGTTCTCCTGGGTCTCTGGTAGTTAACTTCTTTTCCCTTCACCATCGAATTGCCAGCCAGTAGCGGCTCACCCTTGTGTCTGTTTGTTTCCCCAAAAGTACTGTATCTTTTAGAAACCTGTCTTGAGTCGCCATGGGCCTCTAGACTGGACCATTTTCAATGTTGGTTGGATGTGAAGTGTCCACTGGTATGGCCCGGTCCCTAGTGCTCTGCCCCCATGGCCATACCCTGGTTCTCTCTCCTCACGTTCTTTGAAGGCTTGGGCATGCTGTTGCTTATAGACCTGTTTTGCCCTTGGTTTTCTGGACTGCTTTCAGGAAGGACTAGACTAGGTTGCGGCCACCACTGGCCTCTAGTGTTCCTGCTGTGAGCTGTTCTGGGGTCTGGTAGCCACCAAATCCTACTGCTGAGCATTTTAATTGTATTTACACAGAACTGGGTTGCTGTTTGGGAGCCCTGGTGGAACAGTGGTCACATGGTTCAAACCACCAGTCACTCAACAGGAGAAAAGATGAAGCTGTCAACCTCCCTAGGTCATCATCACCATGGAAGCCCCCGGCAGTTCTACTCTACCGTACAGGGTCCCTAGAAATTGCAGCCAACTTTTAGTTTGAGGTCTGGGAGCTCTCATTTTCATCGGGTGACTGAAGATAACAGAGATGAAGCGTGTCCATGTGTTTTCATTCTACACGCATGCATGTGGAATTTAGACGGACGTCCTGATCTGAGACCTAGCTTTGTTCCCTAGGCTCCACTGCCTCCCATCTATCCCAGAACAGGGTTGGAGGGCTCAGGATAAGGGGGACCAGCTCTGGGAAGACACAGTGAACTCGGGACTGGTTTCAGTTTTCTTTTATTATTTTTTTTAAAAAAGCCCCTAAGTCCTATGGCTTCAAGGAAGCATCAGAGAAACATAAACGCCATTTCTGTACACTTTGTAAAGCAAGAACTAGACTTGTACGACTGCCGACCGCCTGTCCGGCAGCCGCGGCCACCCTGGGCCCTGCAAACACCCGGGGGCCGAGCCGGGGACTTTAAGGCGGTTTTGTCTCCGGCTGCACCGGACGCGGGAGGGGCCCAGACGGCCATACCAGGGAGGTAATCCCGCGGTTCTGGCACCGGGGCCCAGCCTCTGGAAGCAGGTGTCTTGGCCACCTGCCTGGCAGGAGGAGCCGGCCCCACATAAGGCCAGACGAGGCTGGGCAGGCCGAGCTTTGGTGCAGCATTTTGGTTGGGGGGCGGCCATGATCCCACCCCCACCTGCCCCTTTGGTCTAGGGGGTCCTGGACCTCACCCCTACACACGGTCCCGAGCAGCACCGCCCGGCGGCACTCCGGCCGGGCCCGCAAGCAGCAGTGGCCAGCCCTGCCCCCCCCTGAGAAAACGGCCTTTGGATCAAGGGAGACAAGGTGGACTTTATGACACGACCGCGGGTGCCAGCCCCTGTTCCCTTCAGCAGACACACAGACGGGCGGGCGGGCAGGCGTTCCCTTGCTTAAATAGTTAATGCTCTCCAAGGGGAGGACTAGACACAGGTGTGGAAATCTCGGCCAAAGTCTTACGTGGAGGAGGACCCCGCGCCGAGGGGGCTGTGGCGTGCCCAACATCCCTATGTTCTGTGTCCGGCGGCAGCGGCGCAGCCTGGGCAGCTGGGGCTCGTGGGCTCAGCAGAAGGTTTGCGTGCAGCCCACGGCTCACTTGTGTCGCTGCAGTGATTTTCTCCTTCTCCGCTTAAAGAAGCAGCAGCACCTGGGGACCGTCGAGGCTGAGCCATGGGGGACCCAGGTTCGCCCAGCACCACCCCCAGTCCCCACCACCGTCAGACGGACGTACTTGGTGTCATCGGTCACCTCCACCTCTGCAGGCGCCGTGATAGGCGCATTGGAGTGGCCGGCCGTGGGGTCATCTGCATTTAGCTCCCCATTGGTGGAGTTCAGCGCCTGCGGAAGTGGGGGGAGGTGGAGCACAGTCATCCGGCCTCCCAAGTACCCCCTTCCCCATCTGGTCCACCCCTGCCCTCACCTGGTGCTTGGGGTGCGGTGTGGCCTTGTCACGGAGCTGGGGCTGCGAGGGCAAGTCGGGGTGCACCGTGCCGATGGGCGTGGGCTGCAGCGGGAAACAGCCAGGGCAGCTCGTGCCGGGACCCGGCCCCGCCCCGCCGGGACCCCGCCCCGCCCCGCCGGGACCCCAGACTCCAGCGGCTTACCAGTGGTTTCCCAGCCCAGTCGTAGTCATAGTCGAAGACGAAGCCACTGCGGTCGAAGAGGTCGGAGAAGAGCTTCCGCAGGTACTCGTAGTCGGGCTTCTCGAAGAAGTCCAGCCGCCGCACGTAACGCAGGTACGCCGCCATCTCCTCTGTGGAGAGAGCCCAGCAGTGCCTCGGCACGCACCTGGGGTCGGTTGGTGCCCGTGGGCGCCCCCTTACCTGGAAAGTTTTCGCAGAGCACCTCGATGGGCGTAGCGCGCTTAGTGTCCCCGATCTTCTGGTAGCGCTCCTTGAGCGTGTCCGCCTGCCCGAGGGGAGGGTGGGGTTGGCGTCAGACCAGGCCCCCTGGCGAGGAGACCCCCTCACCCCGCCCGGGACCCACCTTCAGCCCTTGCCAGGGGAGGCTCCCGCGCAGGAAGTACATGAACATGTGACCCAGGGCCTCCAGGTCGTCCCGGCGGCTCTGCTCTGCGGACGGAGAAGGAAGGCTGAGCTCGGTGAGCCGGCTGGGCCCCGCCCCGCCCCGGCCCAGCCCCTCCCTGCCAGGCTCACCCTTGCCCAGGTGGGTGTTGATGCTCATGTAGCGGGCGGTCCCAGTTAGGCTCTTGTGCTCGCGGTACGGGATGTGCTTCTTGGTCTCAGGGTCGATGTACTCCTTGGCCAGCCCAAAGTCGATGATGTGGATGGTGTGCTGCCGCTTGGTGCCCGGTCGGCCCAACAGGAAGTTCTCTGGCTTCACGTCGCGGTAGATGAGGCTCTTGGTGTGGACGTACTCCATGCGCGAGATCTGCAGGCGGTGGGAGGGGCCTCAGCCTGGAGCCTAGCCCTGCCCCCAGCCGGCCCCGCCCCCGCCCCGCCCCGCCCTCAGACGCACCAGCTGGATGGCAATCATTAGCACTGTTTTGAGCGTGAAGGTGCGGTCGCAGAGGTCGAAGAGATCCTCCAGGCTGGGCCCCAGCAGCTCCAGCACCATGGCGTTGTACTTCCCGCACGGCCCGAAGTAGTAGACCTGAGGGACGCCTTCTGCACAACAGACAAACCGCGGACAGACAGCGTGCCACGGACTGACAGAAGGCATGCCCAACTCCACCTGGCCCCGCGTACCTGCCGTGCTGAGCTGCTTGTAGTAGCGGTACTCCAGGTGCAGCTGTGGGGCGCGGGACTTGATCGGCTCCTGGGGTGGGGGCAGGGTGGCACCAGAGACCCGGCTTCAGGCAGAGACAGGAAAGGGGGCGAGGGCGGGCCCAGGGCAGGCTGACCCTCAGGACCCACGGGAGGTGTCCTGCCTGACTGGGGCTGGGATGGGGGAGACTCACCAGTTTGATCGCTACGTATTCATTTGTATAGAGATTCTTTCCTGTGAGGGGACAGAAGAGTCAGAAAGAGCACATGGGGTCCAGGCACCACCCGTCCCCTCAAGACCCCACTGGACCCCCCCCAGGCCCCTCCGCAGAGCGAGTTCAGCCCCACCTCACACAGGCTGGAAGGCATCTCCCCAGTTGGCTGTCCTCAAGACCAGCCCAGCCCAGCCTGCTCTTCTGGGCACTGCCCCCTCAGAACCTACCCAGAGGACACACCCCCACTTCTCTAAGAGCAACAAGACAGAGCAGCCCCAGGGCTCACTCAGCAGGCGGCTCAAGGGGCTATAGCCACACATAAAGCATGGGGGGCGCCACACCCCGGGGAGATACGATGGAGGCCCACCATCCACAGCCCCTTTACTGTCAAGTCACGTCAGTCTCCGACCTGGCCCAACAAAGCCGAAAACCAATCCCTGGCAGTACCAACAGAGTTTCCAAAGCAGAACTCAACACAACACAAACCCACAGGCTCAACAACACTGGGGGGGGGGGGGGGTGTCAAAGAAGCAGACCTTAAGATGCCACTGGGACTGGCTTTTAAAACAGCTACAACAACGATTCAAGGGTTTACAGGAAGAGATGGCCCCAGTGAGTGAGCCCACGGGAAATTCCAACAGGGAGTAAGCAAGGGGAGACTCAAGCTCTGAAACATACCATCTGTACAGAAACAATGAACTGAGCAGATGCAATGGCAATGTGAACACCACAGTAGGGGTGGAGAGTGAACTTAGAACCCAACCACAGAAAAGATCAACAGAAGAGAGAACAAAAGTTGAAGGCCAATTAACAGAGCTCAAGGACAGCGGCCTGGAGTCCAAGTCACAGCTAACGCTCTCCAAATGCAATGGAAAATATTGGCACACACAACCAAGAAGCCCAATGAATCCCAATGGTCATCTCATATCATCCCCGAGACCCACCACAGGCCACATTAGAGAGCAACTGCTGCCCTGCGGCAGCCCCAGTGCCCATCTGTCTGCTGCAGAGGAGAGCCATGAAGGCCACCTTGGTCCCCGCAGTATCCCACAGGCTCATGGGACCTCTCTGGCCCTGGTCTCCGCCACAGACTGAGAGTGAACTGATTCGGGGACTTCCACGGGGCTTTGTGGGGAGTCAGAGCACAGCACAAAGCTTGGTCAGCCTGCCCTAGGATTGGGGCTCGACAGGACACCCCTAAGTGCATACGCTGCTCCAGGCACCTTGTAAGGAGCCGCGTGTGCTGCGTGGAGGCGGGGCCAGGCGCCCAGGCTGTTCCCAGGTGTGACAGACTCAGTGTTGCAGCTCCATCAGGGAGGGCCCTGCTCCCCAGAAGCCCCCAGGAGAAGCTGCCCACCCTGCCCCTCCCTCCCTCCCATCCCCCTGGGCCTCACCCAGGCGGAGCTCCCCGAAGTTCCCGCAGCCAATCTTCTTGCCGACTCGGAAATTGGGGCCTACCATCAGGACTCCCGAGCTAGCCCCCGAGCCGCGGACGCCGTGGCTGCTCCGGCTTCCACTGGCCTTAGACATCCTCCGGCCCTCTTCCGACTCCCCTTTCCCTCCTTTCTTGTCAAAATCCATCAGTTTGTGGTACCCTGGCCTCTCCACGGTTACTCTGCCGTGCAAACCCCAAACCTGCGGAAACCTGAGGTCACGGCGCTCAGCGGTGGCTAGCACAGCATCGCAGCCGCGAGGGGTGGCAGGTGGGTGGGCCCCGCGGCCCGGCTAGTGTGACGTAGGGGCTCTCCGGGGCCGGGCTGTGATGCTCATCCTGGTGGCCTCAGGCCCGTGCTCGGGGGGTGAAGGCATTCTGTCAGCAGGTCCTGTTGCCCTAAATCTTGCGGCTCCCAGCTGTGGAGAAACAAGCACAGGTTCAGGTCGGGGGCAAGGACCCCAGGACAGTCAGCGGGGAGAGCTATGTGTCTGAAAAGAGCTTTGAGGGAAGGAAAGGGGCTCTGCCCGGGGCCCGGTGGGATGGGCTGGAGGACGCAGGCACACACACACTGCTGCCTGCATCTATGAGGACAGTCACCAGTGTCCCCAGGACCCAGATGAGCAACAGCCACCCCCCTCAAGCTGTGTGGTGCCCCATTCCTGGGGTCCACGTCTGGGAAGAACACACAGCATGAGAACCTGGTGATCAGGTGACAAGGGGCTCAGCCAGCTGGGGACAGAAGACGCTGGCCCAAGAGAACCACCGCCACGTGTCTCACCCCTCCCAGGCACGAGCTGCAGTCCGACAAGCCTATCCTTCTCTCCCCCCACGGCAGGGCCTCCTACATGAGGCTTGCTGCTGAAAGGGTGCATCACCACCCCAGAGCGTTCTGGCCCAAGGACACCCCTTCACTGCCCCCTTAGCAGAAACCCCACCCAGACACTTGAGGGCCAGAAAACACAGCTGTGGGGATTCACTGTTGTTTGTGGGCCGACGACCCTGCCCTCTGCCACCAAGGAACTCCCCCCCTCCCAGTGGCCTGCCTAAAGCCTGAAGCCAAACTCTTTTGTGGCTGAGCACCAGCCCCACGCGACGGGCCACCATCCGTGCACATGAATGAGTGTAGACACGTGCTTGTTTCTCACTGGCAGTGGGTGACTATTAGCTTTCCGAGGGAACACCTGCCTGCCTTGCACAGCCAGCAGCCATACACATGCAGGCGGGTGTCCCCTGGGCCTCAGCAGCTCTAGAAAAGCTGCTTATAGCGCAGCCGAGCTTGAGGAGGGGTCTCCCAGTAGATGGGCATCCCACATCTGCAATGTTCACAGGCCTCCTTGAAGTCTAGCACTTAGACCTGGCCCCAGGCCTCTCTGTGCATCTCCCTTTATCTGGCCTCCAGCCGGGACCTGGGACACCAGATACGCAGAGTCCTAAGTCTTCTGCTTGTGGGCCTCACAGTCACAGAGGCACTAGGGTCCCTAAAGGCTCCTGGCCCAACAGGCAACGCCTTCCAGGACTGACCAGGGAAACAGCTTCACTCAACGCACTGGTGGTGTCCTGTGTGTGCACAGCCCCCCTCAGACCCAAACTCCAAGCGGAGGGCCCACCACACTACCATGGCAGCAAGGGAAGCTGGCACACTCCCCATTTGAACAGTGGAGCCAACGCTAAAGGAGGCAGTGATAGCAGCGAACATCACTCCCCACTACCCCAGGACCACGGACACGGATGAACGGATGGAACTGTCACCAGCTGGGCTGCCTCGCAGGCACTGGGTTCAGACAGATGCCCTGTATGCTCCCCTCCCTCGCTACAGCAGGAAGACATGGCAGCTGTTTGCAGAAGGCAGCCAGCTTGGGCAGAGACAGCCTGAATACCAGACCCTGATGACCATGCTGTCCTCACCGAGAGGGGGACCCCAGGAGGTGAGGGCCTGGGGAGAAGCGAGCTGCACACAGATGGCTGGGTATTGGGTGCCGTGAGCCAGTTCAGACGCACAGAGACCCTATGTAAACAGAACTGACCACTGCCTCGTCCCGTGCCATCCTCCCACCTGCTGTCAGCGCAAACCCACAGCTGCTCCGACAGTACTGTTTCGTCTCCCGGCACTACATCTGAGTGTTCCGCTGCTAGTCAGCGGGAGATCAGTGGCTCAACAGTCAGAAACTGCCTGCCCTTCCTCCTTCCTAGTCTCAGTCTGGAAGCAAAGCTGGAACCTGTCCACCAGGGGTGACCCTGCTGGTGCTGGAAATACTGGTGGTCTTTGTTCCAGCAACACAGTAACACACAGACCAACCGTATGACACCCTGGCAGACGAGTGGGGGCCATGCAGGGGGGGTTGTTGTGGTTATGTGCCGTGGAGTCGGCTCCGACTCACAGAGACCCTGTACAGGGTTTCCGAGGCTGTAAATTTTTATGGGAGCAGAACACCTCATCTTTCTCCTGCGGAACTGCTGGTAGTCTCAAACTGCTGACCATGAGATGAGCAGCCCAATTCGTAACCAATACACTAGTGGGGAACTGCAAATCAAAACGGGCTGTAGCCAGCGACCACCAGAAACCAGGTCAGTCCAGGACACCAGGGGGATTTGGAGAGTGGCGCCCTCAACCCCAGGTGAGCCCCCAGGCCCCTGGGGTCAGAGGGCAGTGAGGCTGATCCAGGGGATGCACGGGCTGACCCTGGCAGGCCCTGGAGTTCCTGCACACAAGTCTGCAGGTTACCTGCCCTGTCCTCCTGAAGATCCTCCATCTTGTCAGACCCAGGCCAGCACCCCAAGGGGGCCCAGGACCTTCAGTGACGTCACAGTTCCTGTGCTGATGTCACTAGCAGCATTCCCAGGCAAGAGCCAGGATGCGGGGGTGGGGAGACAGCCCCTCAGCAGCCCTCCACACCCTGCTAAGAACACCCCAAGCCCGCATCAGCCACTGTCAGGAGGGCGCTTCAGAGGTGCACGTGTGGTATGCGCCCGTGCGTGTGCCATCTGTAAGCCGCCAGTGAGCGTACGTGCTGGACACACCCTGACCCAATCACCGGCAGACAGAGAAATCGGACCCAGAAAGGACACCAGGGCACCTCTCCCACAAGGCTCAGTGAGCAGCTCGACTCCACCTCACACGCACCCACAGGCTCCAGAGCCCAGCTGGCTCAGGAGGTAACCTTTGACTGGGCCCCAGTCAACACCTAAAGAAGCAGCAGTCTGCCAACATATTGTTGTTGTTAAGTGCTGTCGAGTCAGTTCCAACCCATAGTGACCCTATACAGGGTTTCCGAGGCTGTAAATCTTTACGCACTGGGCAAATCTGCGGCACAAGACCTCTTTCAAGTGTTCAAGATCGAGGATGTCCGTTTGAGGACTAAAGAGCGCCTGACCCAAGCCATACTATTTTCAATCGGTTCATATGCATGTGAAATTTGGACACTTCATAAGGAAAATCGTAGAACTGATGCGTTTGAATTATAGTGCTGGCAAACAATATTAACAGTATCAGGGATTACAAGAACCAAAAAATCTGTCTTAGAAAAAGTGTAGCCAGAATGTTCCTTAGAAGGATGATCAGATTTCGTCTCGGACTTCAAGCATGTTATCAGGAGGGACCAGTCCCTAGAGAAGGTCATCATGCTTGGTAAATGGAGGGTCAACAAAAAAGAGAAAGACCCCTAGCAAGATGGACGGGCGGACAGACACAGTGGCTGCCACTGACGAGGCCTGTGAGGCTGGCACAGGACTGGGCAGGTAACCTGCCTTCTGAAAAGGTGCTCTCTGCACACGCTGAGAACAGTTGTTTCCTGACACCACAGCATCACCAGGAGGACAGATTGATTCAACCATCCCAGCTTTTTATCTAACATTTAAAAACCAATCAACAGACAATGGCACCTATAATTTTTGCATTGATTACAAGTGCAAGTGATTAATTTAAAATTTACCAATTAACTTTTCGCTTCACCCACCACAGCTTTGTATGACACTATAGGATAAGTACTGGACTGCGAACTACAAGGTTGGCGGTTCAAATCTACCAGCTGCTCCTTGGACACCTTATGCTTAGTCAGAACTGACTCAAGAGCACTGAGTAACCATAGTGATATTGTGCTTCCAAACGCAGTTGCTGAGTCCTGGTGTGGTCACTGGACAGTAAGGTTGGTTTGAACAGCAAGGTTGGCAGTTCAAATTCACCAGCCACTCCTTAGAAACCCTTTACCCTTACAGAACCAACTCGATGGCACTTAACAACAATGTAGTTCATTGGGGTTCTTGGGGGCAGTATCTACAGACCTCAAGCACACCTCCCTCCCGGAAGACTCATCACCCCTGTGAAGCAGGGGATCACAACTGGTCCATGGGCAGAAGGCCGAGGCCTGGGCCCCGCATTAAGGGGGTGTTCTGTCCCTGCTGAGCCCTCGGTCACCTGGTGGGGGACAGGTAGGCCCCAGGAGGAACCGGACCCCAGGTGGCCATGTCCCTTACTCAACTAACAACAACCTCCTGAGGCTCAGGGCAAGAGTCAGGAAGTGCTCACCAGGCTTGTGTGTCTGTGGGGCCACAGCACTGCCTAGGTAGGAGTGGCACCTGAGGAGGTCAGGTGCCCAGAGAAGTCATCACCACAGGTCCCACTATGGGTACAGCCCACACACCCACATCTCACTACCAAGAAGGGACTCCCCCTTCCTTAGACCCCTCCCAAAGGGGCAGGATGCTCAGCTCCAGGCTGGCCCAGGCATACAGCCCCAACTTGTGGGAGTGGGCACAGACTGCCCCTTACTCCTGTGGAGTACATTTAACTCAGACACACATAAGCCAGGACAAGCAGGGACCAAACCTGCCCCGCACCTGGGACCAGGCCTATTGCAGACAGGCAGTCTTGTTGACATAAGAGACATGGGGTGTGTGTGTGGGGGGGGGCACCCCAGGCATGGTGAGAGCTGAAGGGCGAGTGTGTGGAGGGAAGGATGTGCACAGTGAGCATAGTGGACTGTCACTGTCAGCCATCCCGGGGCCACCATGACACATTGACCTGACAGCTTATTCCTCAGTTCTGTGGGCCAGAAGCCAGAAGTAAAGTGGGCAGGGACATGCTCCCTGCAAAGCTGAGGAGAGGGTCTGCCCTGGGCTCTCCCAGGTGATCTTGGGTTTGTGGGCAGGTCTTCCCACCTGGGGCTGTGGCCCCCCCTCCCCCGCCCCAAGTTCTATCAGCAGGAATCAGGCTTTTCCTGCTCTGCAGAGGCCAAGAGAACAACCTCCCCAAACAGGTCTCCTTCAGGATTGGGAGGTGGGATGGAGATGGGAGGGAACAGTCACTCCGAACACAGCCTCCTTTGATCTCCACTGAGGACAGGCATCAGATGGCTCAGACTTCTGGCCACTCTGAGGGGTAAGGTCCCCAAATACCCTGCATGAGGATTTTAGGGTCACAGA